TCGATCGCGGCGCTGTCTTAAACGACGCGATTAGCCTCGGAGCCGAGCACATAAAATAATAGAAACTGCCATGAACTCGGACGTTCGGATAGGCAGCAGGCCAAGCGAAACTTTCCTATAGAAAACCAAAATCAAACTGAAGAGTATCCTCAAGCGCTTATAATCTTGTGCGGGAGGAGGTTGTATGAAGAGCTCTTTATACAAAACTAGTATTACCTCAGTGTAAAGACCTTTGCCTAGGCCTAAAGTGGAAAGAGCTTTGGGAAGATTTGTATATCGCGATAGCATGACTAAACCTAAAAAGGTAATGAAAACCAACTGCTGACTACTTTTGGTCTTCAAGGTGACGCTAGCACAACGCCGCGCTGCGTCTCGTTTTGAAACCAGTGATTGGCTCTTTAGTAATGTGAAGTCTTGTTCGCTACGGATGTAGGGGCGTGTACGACGGAATGTTTTTGGCGCGGTACCAAAACCCGTTTTCCATCAGTTTTAGAAGCGAGCAAGCTACAAGACTGTATCACTAGTTCGCACAGTCCTTTTACACCAACTGCTGTTGCTTGCCCGCTTCATCACTTTGTAGAAGACGGGGTTGGCACCGCGCCAAACTCATTCCGCCTAACACACCCTTCATTCGCAGCAGACAAAAATACAGCACAATTGGAACATTAAGAACAAATGCGAGATACGTTACATTGAAAATCAAAGTAGAAATAACAGTCCAGAAAAATGGGGGAAAATTAGAAATGTCCAAATATTCCACCAACCTAACACTGCTGCACTATCTCCTACGTTTGCTACATGAAGATTTCGTCCCCGTATATGTGCAAGTGTTGCACAGGAGCCGGAAGCAGCAGTCATTACTGATAACCTAAAATCAAGATTTGAGAATCGCACAGTAACAGTAATCACTGATTGAACTGCAACTGTAACTCTACTGCACCCAAAAAAGTTAAACTTGGCTATCATTCACAGAATCGCTTTGTCTTGCCTATCAATTTGTCCTCTATTGTCCGGTAAAGCAGCACGACATAAATCTTCATCGCACATTTCGAAAGCAAATTTAAGAGCTTCGCGAACTGAAACAACCAGTATGGAGTGGATGCTGAGAAGAAGGCAATAGCTGCACTACAGGGCACACCTCGGTCTTTGGGACATTTTCCAAGACAAGATCTCCCAAGAAGTTCGTCGAGAACGAGCAGCTCCCCAATCAACTATGAGAAATGGTGATGGGGGGTGAGGCGCCAACCGAAAAGTAGTAAGTGGGCAATTCCAACAAACAGAAAAAATGTCAGCTGAAATACTGATCCCAAACCACTATGCCAGCTCACAAAAAGTATCCCCCCTCTCGCCCGCACCCGCGTTGGGATGGCCTAACCCTGGCATGGCCTTACATTTTTTTAGGGAAAACATTCCGCAACCTTTAAACCGAAAAAAGAAAAAGATGTTAGCGCAAACCTGTATTAAGATGTTTTCTTTTAGAAAAAGCTTGGTGAAAATTGATGACATTTTGCAATGTAATTCGCTGAAAAAAAGCGCGCGGCTTAAAGAAAAAAAAAAAAAAAAAAAAAAAAAAAAAAAAAAAAAAAAAAAAAAAAAAAAAAAAAAAAAAAAAAAAAAAAAAAAAAAAAAAAAAAAAAAAAAAAAAAAAAAAAAAAAAAAAAAAAATCTAGTCTTTTCGAAGAAAACTACCAATAATGACGAAGTTTAAAATAAGTTAGGAAACAAACCTAAATAAATTAGGTAAATGAGCATCTGCACTGCTAAAAAGCCATTCACACGTAGTGGCCATAATGCGCTAACTGTCATAACCTGCAGTGGGCGGTTTGAAGCTCGTCGGCTATGACAGCCGGTTTTGCTCAAGTTTAAGCTGGCTGTAATGCTGAAACATAGCATAGAATTCATAAGAATGCGAAAAAATGGCAAAAACACTTTTCATGGTGGGGGCAGAATAGAAAAAAACAGCCTTTTGTGAAGTTCTCCGGTTTTTTAGGACACTCTATCGGCAGTGGTGATTCTTTCTACACAAGCGTTCCACACAGACTAAAGGCGCAGTTCTGAAGTGGAGATACAGTAACTTTTGCTGCAGACGATGAAGTCAGCCCGGGCGGGGAGCGTGAGTCTGACACAGCTGAAAGCCAGTTTTCCACAATTGTTGAAGCCGGCAAGCCTGAACAACTGTGGTGGTGGGAAAATAGATGGGCCCGCCCTCTAAACGCGCCCCAGCATTTGCAGCAGAAACGACTCGCTAACGCCTGATGGGGCTTTCAATGGACTCCTTATGCAGACTGGGACCCGTCTTGCCAAAAAAAAAACTACCGTAGTTTAGAGTGGTCAACCCACAGCGCAGCTCGTCCATTATACGACAAGGCGACAGTTCCTATATTCATGATGTCAACTCTAACTTGCAATATGGAGTCTTTTCAAAGGGTTTCCTCCAAGAATACAGCGCCCTCACCAATTGTGACCCCAATATGTGGAGATAAGGGGCTTTCGGGAACAAAACATGTCCAAATTAAACCAGAAGGGCAACAATCAACATGCATGCAGAAATTCATCCCCTGCCACCCTCCCCTCATCTCATTTGCGCCATTTCACTTTCACACAGAACCATTAACATCATTTCCAGAAGGTTTTATGGAAGGAAACTCTCTCGAACTCGGACTTCCACCTGTTATCCCTTCCTTTCTTCAGGTCACCTATGCTGCTACAGCTCGCATGAACGCAAATACGAACAGAAAGGACGATGACGTAACTAGAAGAACTTACTTCATGCTTCTTTAAAACTGAAGCGCATATATACGGGAATAAAGCTACAGATATATGTCTACTACACGATTGACCACCGTGTCCATCAAAAACTCCAAAAAGAAATGCATTAGATGAAAGACCTAAATGAAAATGGTTAAGTTTGCGCCAAGTTCCTCAAAAAACTCGCGGGTTCCCGGAAATCTCTGGATGGGTAAAAATGCTGGAAGAGTTCACAAATGAAACATACATTTAGCAGCCGAGTAGAAGTCTTCTATTGGACTATTAGCAGCAAGCTGACAAGTATCGATTCGAGCGATCGCTTCCTGATCTACGCTGACAGAACGCTCATGTGCCCTGCAAGGAGTGTAGTGTGAAAGCAAACGAAAATATAAGAAGAAAATGCATTAGGACTGCCAAAAGCAAATCACAGGGTCTTTAACAGCATCCCATGCCTGAGGTATAGAGCTGAACATCTGACTGTGAGTATTGCTTTTCCGAGAATTCTCGGACTCCCCAAAGTTGTTTTGTATAAGAATTCCCATTCGCCAGCCAAACTTTGCGACGTCTCGGCCGCGGATGGCAATATTTCTGGGCTGCAGATGGCGGCATACACTATGTATAAATTAAAAATAGATTGGCAGGCTTAATGCAAATGAAGAAAACGCTTCGCGCATGATGAGCGGCAAAATCGCGAATTGTCCTGACCGTCTCGCGATTGGCCTGGACGGGACATGCTCTGGGACCTGTCCGACGTCCGCGGTAAGCGGGCCATCTGCTACTACGGCGATAGAATGTAATATAAAGAAAACCAAATTAGTATAATCCTTACCTCAAATGAGCGTCCGCATTCCATCGTGAGT